AATACCCCTATCTAATTTTTTTAATTATGATATACTTTTTTATTTAATATGTGCATCTATATAATAAATTTTCTAAAATACCCCTATCAATTTTTTTACTTATGATATATTTTTATTTAATATATTCACTTGTATAATCAATTTACTAAAATACCCCTATCTATTTTTTAAAATTATGATATACTTTTTTATTTAATATGTGCATCTATATAATCAATATACTAAAATACCCCTGTCAATTTTTTTAATTATGATATACTTTTTATTTAATATATACATTTATATAATCAATATACTAAAATACCCCTATCTAATTTTTTTAATTGTGATATACTTTTTTATTTAATATGTGCATTTATATAATCAATTTACTAAAATACCCCTGTTAATTTTTTTAATTATGATATATTTTTATTTAATATATGCACTTATATAATTAATTTACTAAAATACCTCTATCTATTTTTTAAAATTATGATATACTTTTTTATTTAATATATGCATCTATATAATTAATTTACTAAAATACCCCTACCAATTTTTTTAATTATGATATATTTTTTATTTAATATATGCATATTTATTAAAAAACTTTTGATTTGCTTCAATGATTGATGAAGAGGCAAATTTTTTAAATAATTTTATAATTGAAGTTATTTTTGTCCAAAAAATTCACTTCCATGAAACCCATTTTATTTTCATGGGTTTTATTATATAATTCAATTAACCTATTTTGATGAATTTCATTTCAACATGAAAATTCATTTCATGCATACCAAATAAAAAAAATATAAATTGCAATTTAATTTTTATTTTTATATTTCTATTTTTAACATACCGAACGAGACATTAGAGTTGAATACTACAATAATTCCGTAGATGACTGAGAACGTTGATGGAAAGACTAAACATAGAATGCCAATTGCGAATAGAAATAATTAATTTAATGGGCTCAAATTTTCACAATGCAAATAGTCATTAAAGTCTGTAACTCCCAGACATGAAGCCCACAATTCTCAATGCAATGTGCTCCAATTTAAATCGATATTTAAAAAATGAAACTGAACAATAAATCAGAAAGATAAGGAGGTTACGAGTTTCATAATTCAACCCACTCAACTGTGCTAATAATTAAATCGATAATATAATAATTAAATAAAAATAATATATATATATATATATATCTCTTAAAAATTGAGTTAAATGGTCCAACTGCTTTAAGTTTTCAACAATAATCCAACTCAAAACAGATCAATTTGGATCAATTGTCAAAACGATTTAAATGATTGAATTAAATTATTTTTTTTTGAATGACAGTTCAACCAATCTGACCATTTAGGCCAGTTTAGATTTAAAAATAATAATTTAAATAAAGAGTCCAACTTCAAAGCAAATTAAACAAAGGGTCCGAGTAGTGACAATTAAAAGAGCCCATTAAATGTGATTGCTCTTATATGTTCAAAAATTTGGAAGATGACGTGATTCGGATTTCCAACATTTAATCCACTTTTGAGAAATGTTGTTTGGTTGACATAATTTACCCCAAATCAACTTCTGAGAAGCAGTTCTCAAGTACTGTTAAATATGGATTTGGTGAATATCATATACGGTGAAGATTTTAAAAGTATTTTTGAAATGTGATCTCCTAATTTTTATATGACCATATCACTCCTAAAATTTTCAAGAAAAAATTACACTTAAATCTTACAAAAGAGAATTTATTATTAAAAGTTCTTATAAAATTTACAAAATATTCTTAAGTCTCAAATATTGCATAGTAACATTAACTTGGTAAATGGTATTTACAATTGGATAATGAGTATTTACAACTTACAATTACAACTTACAAGGAAAAATGACTTCTTGTAATAGTAAGTTGTAAATATCAGTTATCCAATTGTAAATGCCTTTTGCCAAGCTGTTAACACCCAAAATTTAAAAGTTGAGAGTGTTTTGTGAATTTTATAAGACTACTTAATAATGAATTCTTTTATGTGAAATTAAGGTGTAAATTTTTTGATTTTCAATGACTCTTTCACTTTTAATCTCCTTTTCTATTTTTTCACTCCTAAGATTATTTTTGTATAAAATTATATTTTATTTGACTATCAATAATTAATAATTGATCTTTCCTTCAAAAACTAGATCAAATAAATCTAAAATAGCTGTTATGCATCAAGGAATTCAATTGAAATTATGTTTTGTTGGGAAATTATCAAAATGAACTTCATCTATTTTTTTTTATAAAAATCAATTACCACACAACATTTACGGGGCTTTAAAAAATTATATTTAAAATTTTTATCACATATTTTTAAAAAATTTCTAATATATTGCATTTGTATAATAAAAATTATAAATTATCATAAATCAATATCCTTTTTGATAATTATATATTCAAAAGCACTTTTCATTATATATAATTCAAACAATTTTTAATTTACTGAATTGACATTTGTAAAAAATATATTCAAACATAAATTTCATTACAATAATTAATTTTTATTAAATTGACTTTTGTTATATGAAATTTTGATAAATTGACTTTTGTTAAATGAAAAATCACGCATGCTGTCTTACTCACACGAGTTTTACTTCATATAGATCTCTTCAATACAATTCACATATTTGTATGTGTGTATAAAAGATAGAAGTATAATCTGATCCTATCATGTGGTTTTGAAGTTCAAACCAAATTTTAGTCGTACTACAATGCAAATAAGATTGAAAATGTAGCAAAATATTTAAGAAGAAATTCTTTATGATACATTAAAAATTTAATTGAAGTATTGATACTTGATAAGGTACCAGCACATAGTGAAAAGAATAATTCACATCATTCTAAAATCGATTAATGAATGACAAACCAAAATGAAAATAAAAAAATAGAGAAGAAAAGATAATCTAGTTTCGAAAACTTCCTAATAATCTTGCTGCCAGTCTTCATGCCTTTATGAATTTCAAATATCTCGTATTTCTTCCATAAAAATATAAAGTATTTTTTTTAAAAATTAAATATTAAAAATATAATATAATATATTTTTAATGTTGTAAGATATAATTAATGTGTTTTTTCAAAAATTTTCATAATAAATAAATTATTTTATATTTATTTTAAAGAAAAATATTTTATTAAATAATAATAAATATAAAAAGATAGTATTAATTTAAAGGTAATTAATTATTTTATTGAGTATGAGATTTGATTGAAGTATCTTATATTTTTTAAAATTTGATATATCCTTGATATTTCCTTCTTCTTATTTTATTTATTCTTGAATCTTAACTTTAATACTTCAATGGTTGGGATTTAATATAATATAAAATAATTATAATAATAATAATTAAGAAAGAAACAAATAAATTTGAAAGGACAAAGTTTGACATGAACCGTTTAGAATTAGAGCTATAGTGAAAAATAAAAAAAATATTTTATAAGAAAATGTATTTATTTTATTTCATATTATAATAATAACTTTATAATAGATGTTGAAATCAAGTGTGGAAAAGACAGGAAGAGAAATGAGCGGATACTGTCTCTCCTCTTTTTACTTTTTTTTTTTTTTTGTTCATCCTTACATCTAGAAGCTGGTTCCTTTTTTCCCCCCCTCTTATCTCTCTGTCTGCTTTCTTTTTGAGTTTTCTCTCTCCTTTACTTGAGATCCGGTTTACAAATCTCCATACATGTGGATGTTCTTTTTTCTTGAGCGTAGTTATCTTCTGCGCAGAACACGAGAGGATGAGTAAGCTCGACCTTCAGCACTCAGCAGCGTACCCGAGTCATTCATCTCCGAAGCCGGCTTCAACTCATCTTTCTCAGCTTCTTCGCCGTTGGCCGGCGCCGGTGGAATTATAACATCTTCTTACTTCAGACTCAGTCTAGCCGACATTTCCGGTGCTAGAATAAGAAGCTTTTTCTTTTTTCTTTTAATCAAGATATGAATAAGCTTTTTCTACTTCTTTCAGCTTCAACGACGGCGGCGCCCCAATTTATTCTTCATCAAGTATCCGGATTCTTCTCGGGTTAATTCAAAGCTTAAATTTTTCTCTCCTGGCTTTATGTTTTTTTTTTTTTTTGGATTTCTTTCTAAAGGTCAATCAGAGCAAGAGGTTATAAAATAAGTATTTTGACCAGCGGTGCCCACTGATAATCCTTTATTATACCAGAAAAAAATTATAAAATGCACCCCGAAACTGAAATCTTATGTCATTTGTATTATATTTAAAAGAATAATTTAACTTACGTAAATTAATATTCTTTTATTAATTATATTAAAAAAATAGAAAAGGACATGTGAAGAGTACATGGTATATAATTTTTTTATTCAGTTAAGCCTGTGACCCCTTGATGTTTATCTATGGGCTGACGGTGTCCTTTTCTCACTGGTGGTGGGTCATTGTTTTGAAATTTCCAAGCCTGCCACCAATTAGGCTTCTGCCACATGCACTTGTCACAGAACTTTCATAAATTGCATTGTCATCCCTTTTAACAAATTGCTGTTTCATCCTTCAACAATTTGAAAAGTGAGGAAATGGGGAGAAGCAATTCCATTTATGGGCTGACTACCCCTAATGCTTCACTCTTTAATCGCATTTGTAATATTGGTTTAACTTTTTAAGTATTTGTTTAAGATGAGATATTACAACTACAAGGGCACAAGATCTCCCCTAATCCTCTTCTCCCGGGCTCCCTCTTACCCAAGGGTAGAGCCAAGATTTAATAATAAAGGGCCAAAATTCAAAAACATATATATTACAAATTTTTTTTAAATTTTAAAAGCTGAAATCATGTAAAAGTTATATGAGACTAAAAAAATTTTTAAAATTTGAAGGGCCATGACCCCAATTAATTACCCTCCCTCCCCCGTTCTTGCACAGGGTGAGGGCCATGTGAGGACAGGAGGGGGAGCATTAGAAATGAGATAATAGAGAACCAAAATCCATTCCCACATATATGCATTAATTATTTTGCCACGAATATGCGGCATCCTCTTCCTTACTTTATGACGAAATTCTCACTCCTCCTTCGTCGTTTTCAACTACCAATCAATTTATAAGCCTTTGGTCAATGTCTATACACCAGATTACTCCATTGACGGACATGACATGACCTCTCTCTCCTCAATTAAACTTCACTCCCTCGACATACATATACAGAGATAAATCTCCATCCAATTGATCTCATCAAAAGATGCTTCAACCTAATTTCCTTCCATTAATCACCTTTGTATTCTGGTCATGGTGGAGGCTTAACGGCGTCGTTGCCGACCCCCAGATCAATCTCCTAAGCCAAGGGTGTACACCATCCACCATCTTCGTCTTGTCCAACTTCTCCATCTTCAGCGACAACGTCAACAAAACGTTTCGACACATGAGAAAGAAGCTCGTCAATAGTCAAAACGAGAACTTCGTGACAGCGCAGCAAGCCAACGCTGAAAACCCAGTTTTCAGTCTTTTTCAGTGCAGAAACTACCTCTCCGTTCATGACTGTGTCGCCTGTTTTGACGCTGCCTCCAAACAAATCCGAGACTGCCCCGCCGGAGCACAAGGTGGCCGCGCCGTCTACGACGGCTGCTTCCTCAGGTACAACTAGTCCACCAGTTAATTTTCGTCCTTTTCTTGTTTTGTTTCCAGCCACCAAAAAAGAAGTCTTCAGACCTGTTATTTCCCGAATATTTTATCGCTTTAATATATGGTAGTTTATGTGTTACGTTGATTGATTAAACTGTAGCAATAGAGACTAAACAAAAACAAAAACAAAAAGACAAAAGCGACCTACTCTTGGCTCACTAGTGGGGCCAGGTACTATAGTAGAGGGGTCTCAAACTGTGACGTAACAGGGAGAAAAAAAAGGTTGAGACAATTGAGAAAATAAACTTCGGTTAATTTTTATTTTTTGTGCTCACAAGTTAATAGGTACTTAAATTAGGTAAGACAGCTTCTATTTTGATCAGTGCAGAACAAAACTTGTGCATTGAACTTGGAATTAGAAATGATGAGTGGTATACTTTGTGTATTGAGGTACGAGACCAGTGCTTTCTTTGACCAGACAACTGAGAATTTCAATGCCGTGTCGTGTGGCAATCAAACTGCAAGAGAATCCACAGAATTTACCTCACTTGTGCAACAAGTTCTAATGAATCTGCAAACAACACCACCCAAAAGACGTGGGCTTTTTGCAGCCACAAAAGCACAATTGCCTGAGAATGGTTCAACTATTTATGCGTTTGCTCAATGTACTGAAACTATCACACAAAATGGGTGCCTCAATTGCTTGAACACTGGGTACAACAATATTCTCACTTGTTTTCCCAATTCTGATGGTAAGGCTTTTGCTGCTGGATGCTTCATGAGATACTCTTCCACTTCCTTCTTTCCTGATAATTTCCAGACAATTGATGTTACTCCCTTGTTAGGCAAACAAGGTATGGTTCTTTCAATATAACAAAAATAAAATTGCAGCATGACAGTACAATTTGATTTGCTTATTAATTATGTGTATTTTGAGAACTCCTTTTTATTCCTTTTGTCTATGCTTGATTAGATATGCAAATATGTTTTCCTTGAACGGAATGGAGTTTAGGTGTATATTTTTTAATTTTGTTATTAGAATTTTTAATTATATATATATATATATAAAACTGACAAGAATAATGATATGCATCAATTAAAAGATTTTTTCAGTATTTCTCCGAACATTTTATTCGGTTCCGTGGGACTTCTTTTTTTTTTTTTTTAAATTCGCTCAATAGTTTTCTACACAATCTGGCACGGTTTGACTCTGAATATTAGAAAAATTAGTACATTCTTTCAAAAGCTTTGAATTATTAACTATTTCCTGCATCCCCGACATGTAGTTTTGAAAATTTATCCTTTGAACAATGAGCTAGCTTCATTGAAAATAAAAGATGACGAGTTCTAAAAGTCTAAATATAATTTAATGGAGTGCGCGTGCTTCTACTTTTTTAAAAGGAATATTTAATATGCCTTAATTATTATGACTTATTTGAAAATGAGTTCTCAAGTCATGTCTTGTAGGTACAAGCAATAAGGGGGCCATTGTCGGTGGTGTTGTTGGTGGTGTAATTCTTGTTTTGATCCTCATTGTATTATTTGCCTGTATTAGACGGCCAAAATGCACTACGAGGGTTCACAGAGGTGAATAACTTTAAAATGCCCTGATTTTTATTTTTTTTTCCACCAAAAAGAAATAGGTTACATACTCTCATCTCTTATGGAGGGGTATGAATCCCTTTGTGGTTCTGTCAATATGAAGAGATTTTGATAAATGTGCTTTACTTGACAGGAGACATAATTAGAGCAACTAAGTTGAAAGGCCTTGTTACATATAGTTATAAGGATTTGAAGTTTGCAACTGATAATTTTAGTGAAGAAAATAAACTAGGAGAAGGAGGATTTGGTGCAGTATATAAGGTAACTGTTTTTGTTATTTTATGTACTATATATATATTTATCATGTTTTGAATAAAGGAATTAACTTTCCAAGCGACATAATTAAAGCAAAACTTCTTATAACAATTTCTTGATTGGTATTCTTAATCATCATGTAATAGGGTACTCTAAGGGATGGGAAAGAAGTTGCAGTCAAGAAGTTAACTTTACAACACTCTAGAAGAATTGAGGAAGATTTTGAGAGTGAAGTGATGCTCATAAGTGAAGTTGATCATCCAAATCTTGTTCAACTTCTGGGATGGTGTAGCCAAGGCCGTGTCAGGATCCTTGTTTATGAGTATATGAAGAACAATAGTCTTGACAAATTCTTATTTGGTATGTTGCATCAACCGGAAAAATACTTAATAATTTGTTTTATATTTCGAATAACATTGTGACATGTTTTTCAACTTAAAAATATATCGTTAACTCATATGTCATAATTTTTATAAGAACTCCCAACACACGCACATCAATTCCCTATTGTAACATTTTGGGATTCTTTTTGTTTTTGACTTTGGGAAACAGATGGAAAGAAAGGTTATCTCAACTGGAAGCAGCGATATGATATAATTTTAGGAATAGCAAGAGGTTTGACTTATCTTCACGAGGAATTTCATGTTCGTATTATACATAGAGACATAAAGACTAACAATATTCTCTTGGATAATGACCTACAACCTAGAATTGCTGATTTTGGATTGGCAAGGCTTTTACCAGAGGATAAATCTCACCTTAGCACAAAATTTGCAGGAACATTGTAAGTCAAAATAATATAATTTCTTTTATTTTCTTAACTTTTGTTACATTACATATATTGTTCACCACATGGATAAAATATATACATGCATGAGTCATGAGAACACTCCTGTTAGACCTATCAATAGTTCTAGCGTTTGTGATCTTGTCACTATATACCATGAATGCTTCAAGAAAGAAATTAATAGCTACATTTTACATCACTCTTTAAGATTTAGTTGGATCATAATTATCACTTTCTATTTGCACTATTACTGTGATCAATTACATTGTGCAAATATCATGCATTTATTAGAGGATACACAGCACCGGAGTATGCAATTCATGGTCAATTATCAGAAAAAGTTGATGTCTATAGCTATGGTGTTGTAATTCTTGAAATCATTACTGGTCAACGAAGCAAAGCGATAAAGGATGAAGGCGATACCGAAGATGAATTCCTCCTTCCAAAAGTGAGTAAATTTCTGTGATTATTGAAAAAGGCATATTTTGATAAATTTTATGCATGTAGGACTTTTTTAACAACTCAAGTTAACTCTTCTGGCCACAATAGCTATTGTTTTTAATCAAAGACCTAATAATAAATATGTATGAAAATCAAATCTAAGTGTTGCTTTGTCTTTCCTAACCCTAGGCCTCTTATTCAATTTCACTTTAATCTCGTTTTTTAGGCTTGGAAACTATATGAGAAAGGCATGCACTTAGAGTTGGTGGACAAAACCTTAGACCCAAATGACTATGATGCAGAAGAAGTGAAGAAAATTATTGAGATTGCTTTGCTCTGTACCCAAGCGTTTGCTGACTTAAGGCCAACCATGTCCGAAGTAATTGGTTTGCTCCAAAATAGTGGCTTATTAGAAAATATAAGACCCTCTATGCCTCTCTTGATTGTAACTGATTAGGAGTGCTTAGACGAAGACACCGCTATCATCATATGATATCGTGCATCTATACTGTCAGCAAGATAGTTGAATTTTACAGGAATGTGTAGTTACCTCAATATCTCGGGGTCTGTATGAATGCAAAAAATGCCTCAATATCCAACGTTGTTCAATTACTACGATTTAGTAAAATTTCTTGCAGTTTATGCATGTATATAAACAAATACTAATATATGGATTACTCTCTCCATTCCAAATTATAATTTATAAAATACTTTTGGAAGTAATTTAGTATCTTAAAATACAAGATATTTTGATAAAAATAAAATTTTATTAATTATATTTATTCAAATATTACCTTTTCTTGATTATATTTTTTCTCTCTATTTAAAGTTTCATGAATAAGGTTATTTTAAATGAAAGGTATTTTTCAATAAGTATATTTGTGTTTTTAAATAATAAGATTATAAAGTATATTTAATAAATTTTATTACGCATAATTTTATTAAAAAATATTTTATAAATTGAGATGATGAGAATATTATACTATTATGGATGTCACCAACATCATGTCTGGACTGAGAGGGCTAGGAATGTTTTCGCTTCCAGTTGAAATTTCTCTACCAAAAACAAAAATTAGAACTCAGAAATGGATCATATCCATCCCAATTGAAACTAATCAATTCTTTTTTTCAATAACCAAATAATAGGGAGGCTACTCATTTTTTTTAATGTTGTTTTAAAGACAACTTACAGCATGGTATTTAAGTTGACGAAAGTCTTGCGGTCGAATTTCATCAAAATATTTAAATAGCCTAAAGCTGTTGGCAGTTACATTACTTTCAAATCCTATGTATAATGACTTCAAAAACAATAGGCAGTTGTTAACGTAACTTTCAAATTCCGATGCTTTTTATGAATTTTGACCACAAAATACCAATGACTTTGAGAACAAGCTCTTGCATGCAGTGCAAACATACCTCTAAATTTGAATTCAGTGAGTGACTTAAGAATACTTACTCAATGAGTATCTCATGTGGCATGATAATAACAATTTAATTTAATCAAATGACTGTCAAATGAGTTTTCTGATTGTGAGATGATTGTTTTGAATCTTTCACAGGAAATATATTTTAATAATTTTCAGGTATTGATAATTAAAATTTAACATCTATAATTGATATACTCATTGAGTAAATATACTTATTTCACTCACAAAATCTAAATCTTTCTCGCTCCCCTTTCCCTCACTATGTTTGGTTGGAAGGGAAGGAAGGAAAGGGAATTTAATGGAGGGGGAGGGGAGGGTGAGGCATCCCTCCCAATCCCCCAATTTGGAAAGGAGGGGAGTGAAAGGCATTTTATATAATGTTAAGAATAATTAATGTGTTTATATATCTTGAAAATACCCACAAGGTCATAATAAATAAAAAATTACTATTACTTTGGTTCATTCCCTATAAAGAGAGTCAATTGTATTTATGAAACTATATATTTGAAAAGAATGAAATGTTTCAAGACATTAATCACATTCATATGCTGTGAGAGTTAAATAATTAAAAATGTCTTATAATAATAAAAGAAGAAAGTAAATAAAAAATGTATTAAAAGATTGAATTAAACTTAAATAAGGATAAAAAATGAAAAGTCAAAGTAAGGACCAAAGATTATCTAGTGAATTAGTCTAAAAACTACTTTCATTCCATGATTTACAACCACAGTAAAAAAATTTACAACTGAAATTTACTAATTTATAAAGAAAAAAACTTATCAAACCATATTTTTGATTCTTGTTTAAGTTTACTTTCACTCCAAATTCTTTAGTCCTTATTTAAATTTAGTTCAATTTTTGGCCCTTTAATGTTTTTTCTCCATAAAAAAAAAATCTAATATACTGATCTATTTAAATACACAAATAACATTAGTATTAATAATTGATATATTAAATTAAATTATAAAAACCACACTTTTATAAAGATAAAAAATTTTTTAATTTGAATTCTGGCATGATTCTTCATATAATACGTGAAGGTTAAAAATAGGTCATAGTATTAATAATTAAAAAATTTTAATATATATATATATATATATAAAAGCCATACTTTTTGACATTGAAAAATATGAGTTACTTTAGATTTTATATTAGAATTAATATATAAAATTAAAATTTTAACTATGCTATTGCACTCGTAATTAAGAAGGTCAGATAATGCATAGATCTTAAGTTTAATGAACTCTATATTTTATTAAAACTTGCCTTTGTTTTATAAAGGAATGCTTGGTTCAGCTGGTAGATCGTTAAATCAATTTATCATAAAATCTTGAGATCAAGTCTTGAAATAACATGTAATTGTGTTAATTAAAAATAAAAAATATAATATCTCAAAATTTCTTAGGATACGGAAGGATATTAAAAGAAACTTGACCATGCTTGTAGGCCTTATATATAAAATATATTTTTTATGACTTATAAATAATATCGTTTTATGTTTGTTTATATTATACAAAAACGGTGTTCGCTGGAAAATTTGATCAGCGTTCACACTGAGACATTATCTTTTCTTCTTCAGCATGTGAATGGACAAGGCTGTACTTATTGGACTGAAGTCCCTTTATACACGAAAGTTGCAACTTGCAGTCATCTTTGCCTACTTGTTTGAATGTCCAGATTCGACGTCCGTGAATAATAGTAATATAAAATATAAAAAATAATATATTAAATTTATTCTAATATAAAATTTTTGCAAGTGGTACTTCTATAAATAGTGTGATTTATTATGATACGAGAGCCCACTCAATTATCTAAGGAATTGGTTTCCCTACTCATCTTGAGCATCGTATGCTTGAGATGAGATCTGAATCATTTATATTTTTAATTTAAATGGTTCAAAATTAAAATATTATTATTATATTATTATATATTATACTTATTAAAATAAAAATTAGAAAAAAATTATAAAAAAATTTTATTTTTAATCTACTCTAAATTTAAATTAAAGGGTCTAATTTAATATTAAAATTTTTATTATTAATGTATATTGATTATTCAAATTTATTTTGCAAAGTTTAGGACTTTGCAAAATACATTTGAATAATTAATATATATCAATTATAAAAATTTTAACATTAAATTAAACTTGCTAAATTATATTTAAATCAAATTAAAAATAAAAATTATTAAAATTTATTTCATAATTTTTTTATTTTAATAAATATAATTGTAATAATATATTAAATTTGAACCATACAAATTAAAATTTAAATGGTTCAAATCTCATCTCAAGGATGAACTCATGGTGCTCGTCTTTGGGATGAGCATGGAAACTGGACCCCATTATCTAAGTAAATTATTAGCATGTCTTTTAACTAATAATAGAATATAAGAGATTAAAAATTAAAAAGTTTAAATAAAGGATGTGGGCATTAGTGTGCATTACATAGTATGGAAACTTGTGTCTGGTTTAATAAAATATTCATTTATCATTGGTTTAATTACGGTTCAACTACAGTTTTAACCATTAATTTTTATTTAGTTCCTTCACGAGTTTAATAATTGGTCTGGTTTTCAATTCTTGGTGTGTTATAATTTGACCATTAATTTTTAATTCATTACCTTGACGGGTTTAATGATCGGTCTGGTTTTCAATTCTTGGTGTGTTGTCATTTGACCATTAATTTTTAATTTAGTACGTTGACGGGTTTAATGATTGATTTGATTTTCAATTCTTAGTGTGTTGTGATTTGACCGTTAATTTTTAATTTAGTACTTGATAGGTTTAATAATCAGTTTGGTTTTCAATTAATGTGTATTGCAATTAGCTTTTTCTCTTGGTCCCATATTTATATGTGCACATATATTATTAACTTGTCAAAATAAAATGTAGTGTCTCGTAGTCTCTTTCTTCAACCACTCTTTCCTTCTTCATCTTCATTCTCTCCACAAATAGTCAGTCAATCTCAACAAAAAGAGATGCTTCAACGTCTGAATCTCCTTCCCTTATTGGCCTTCATATTCTGCTCATGCTGGACCCTCCACGTCGTCGTTTCGGATCCGCAGACCAATCTTGTGAGCAGATTCTGCAACCCATACGACGTATTGAAGGTGTCCAACACCTCCATGTTCGATGAAAACCGAAACGCAACGTTTCAAGACATCAGAAAGCTGATTAGTGACCAAAGCAAGCACTTCGCCACTGCTCAACAAGCCAATGGTGGGAACCCTGTCGCCACTCTTTTTCAATGTAGAAACTACCTCTCCATCGCCGACTGTGTCGTGTGCTTCGACGTCGCCGCCATGAAAATTCTGAGCAGTTGCACCGGTGGGTCCCCCGGTGGTTTTGTCGTCTACGACGGTTGCTACCTTAGGTACAATAAGCTTATAGTCCACCAAGTTCGACTTTTCCTTTATTTTATGCATAGTAGTTCAATAATTGATTGCATTTACATTATAATTAGTTTGGCTGTCATTAATATCTCGATGAGTTCAATAATTGAGTCAAATTATTACTAGCTAAGTAGCTGCAGATATATGTATATAATAAAAAGCACCCAATTCATTTATACAAATTAAAGACAAGTACGTAGTACAGTGTTGATCATTTGACATTATTGATCAAAAATTAAAATGGAATAATTATCTTAGTATTTTTATTTGTAATTAGCTTAGTAATTGATTGTTATACATGCTTCTATATAATAATGCACATGGATCTTCATAATCTTTCAAGAATTATCAATCAGGATTCTATTCCACCTTTAATTTAATAGCGTGCATATTGCATATATCCCATAACCTCCAAATTTAAATGGTTTTTATCTGACCACATTTTTTTTTAATGGGCTTTATGAATGTTTTTAGTACTGCATGATCTCTAAAGTTTTTTTTTTTTTTTTACGAGAACTTAATCTCTGAAGTTTTATATCATAGCTTTATATATCTTGACTAAATTTTTTTATTTGCCTTGATATTTAATTTAGGAATGAGAATGCTGCTAAAAAAATAGAGTTGCTTTCCCTCTTCCTACCAATCCTTCCTCCTATCTTCTCTATATTTGGATCTCATCTTCAATAGTTGAGATTTAATATAATATAAAATTATTATTATTATTATTATTACAGCAAATAAATTATTAAAATTTTCTTGAACAGTTCACAAGTATAATGAAAATATTTTATAAAATAAATTTTCCTTATTTTAGGATATATTAAATCTTAGCCATTGAAGTTGAGATCCAAGAGGAGGGAATATAGAAGTAGTAGGAGTAGAGATGGGGAGGAAGAGGAAAGCCAACTCCAAAATTACTTAGGAATGGGAAGTATTTTTTCTAAGGAGAATGACAAGTTAGGTTCCAAAATTTTGAATTTATGATAGTTAGGTCTTGATAAATTTTTTAAAAAAATAAAATGAAAATAAATAATTACTAATTCAAAAATTTGAATTGCATAAGTCATTTAACTTTCAAATTTTTTTTCTTAAATTGTATTTGGATTCTTAGTTGTAATTTTTTGAATCGATATTTGTAACTTATTTTTTTTTTTTAAAATCTTGTATGAGAATGAAATATTATTAATTCAGTATTTTGATATTTAACTTTTATTCTCCTTTTTGAGTTTCTATTTCCCTCAAAAATTCTCTATCAACTTGTTTATGTTTTTGTAAAAAGCATATAATATTTTATAAATAAACCGTATAAATGAAATAACAAATTTTTATATGGTTTGCGATGGGTCTTATTCCTTAAACAAATCTTGAGCTTATTTGAATTTCAATTGGGTATAATTGATTTTAATTATAATTAATTATATTATAATGCAATTTGTTTGAATACTGTTTTTTTAAAATTAATTTTAATAAAATTAAAAATGTTTGGATAATTTAGTTAGAATTAGTTTTAGCCATGCAAATTATCATAAAGAACATTTCTTTTTAAAATTAAATTATTAATAAATTTGTATAAAATATTATTAAATTTTTTAAATTTTATTTAAGAATTAAAATATATTATTTAAATTATATATATGATTAATTATAAAAATTTAAATTCAACGTGTAATGACACAAGGGTAAATATTGGCAGTTTAGAGATGCTGACAAATAATTAATGCTTTTAACAGTAAGATTGAATTGATAAGTAGCCTCTCAATAGCTTATTTGAAAATGTCATTTTGCTTCAATAATCAATTATTCCAATTTTTGGATGTTTGGGAAAATTTTATTGAAATCGATTATTCCAAATAATCGATTTATTATTCAATCCAAACAGGCTGCTTATGTTTCAGATTATTCATAAATCATAATATACAAAACCTAACCTTTCTACAGTGCTTAGTATCATAATTAATGTTGATTCGTGATAAAATTAATCCAAGTAATTGAAGGTGATAAATTCATCATCTCATTAGCTTGATTTGTAGATAGTAAAATCCATATTGAACTTTGTCATAAGAAAAATATAATGACACATAATGGATGCTTTCGTGGTGTGTTATAATATAAGGTATGATGCCAGCAGCGCCTTCTTTGGCGAGACAACGCCTTCTATCAACAGCGTAAAATGTGGAAATCAAACTGATGATGGAGAAGCCATTAATGCATTTGACTCAACTGTTGAACAAGTTCTAACGAATCTCAAAACTACAACACCCACAACTACTGGTTTCTTTGCAGCCATGAAGATGCAAGTGCCTAATAATAATATTGGTCAAACGGTTTATGCTTTTGCTCAATGTATTGAAACTATCTCAGAGAACGTGTGCCTCAGTTGCTTGAATGCTACGTACAGCAATTTGCACACTTGTCTTCCAAATTCCAATGGTAGGGCATATACTAATGCCTGTTTCATGAGATACTCCACCAGTTCCTTCTTTCCTGATAACCAGACCACTCACATCGCACCCTTGTCGGAACAAGGTACTTTCTATCATTTCATATCATTAGTGTATATATATATATATGCTATGAGTCTTATATTGAGGAGCCTCACAAGTGAAGTGGGGTTTATAAATATTACTAGTTTTTTGAGGTGACCTTTCTTTTTAAATTTGTGCTCATTACAATATCACACGCAACTGCTATGGATGAATTTTTTTTTTTAATTACATTAACTTGGTGATTACACAGGTACTGCAACATGAGAATTTGGTTTGCTTATGTGTAATTCTGAATCTCTCAAGTGATATTATATGTGTCTTGTTTCATTGCCTTTTAGACAGGATATAGCCGTACGTAGAGAGATCGACTCATTTGGAAAGTGATTCTCTAGTTTGTGTCTTGCAGGTTCAAATGAGAAGAGGACCATTATTATAGGTGTAGTTGTTGGAGGTTTAGCTTTTGTTTTGATCCTCCTTACACTATTAGCTTGGATTAAGCGGCCAAAAAGGCCTGAGAGAGCAGTTCCTAGGGGTAAACACCTTGAAAGTCTTGTGTTATCATTTTGTTATGATTGAAAGTGATGATGCTTTGGTCACATTTTCCCTTTAAAGAAAAGTTATGGATTCAATTCCTTTCTTATGAAGAAAGTAGGAATCCCTAACTGATTTTTTCTTAATTTACGAGGAGACTTAATTTGACTGATGTTTTCTTTGACAGGAGACATATCTGGAGTAAGTAAGTTGAAAGGCCCAGTTATTTTTAGTTATAAGGAGTTGAAGTTTGCTACTAAAAGTTTCAGTGCAGAAAATAAACTTGGAGAAGGAGGATTTGGTACTGTATATAAGGTAACTATATATATTTTGATATCAATATTTCGATCTAGATCATCTTCCAACTCAAGGATGTTTCCAAGGGAGTACTTTCAAATAGCTAGAAGTGTTGTAAATAAGCAAAACTTCTACTAATGCATTTAGGATTGACACTCTTCGTTTTCATACATAGGGTACTTTGAAGAATGGGAAAGTGGTTGCTGTCAAGAAATTAATTTTACGCCAGTCTAATAAGAAGGTGGAAGAAGAATTTGAAAGTGAAGTGAAGCTAATAAGCAATGTTCATCATCGGAATCTTATTCGCCTTCTTGGATGTTGCAGTAAAGGCAACGAGAGAATTCTGATTTATGAATATATGAGAAATAGCAGTCTTGACAGATTCTTATTTGGTATATTTTATCAACCAATAAAGCTAACTCTTCTATATAGTTATTTAATCTTTAGTTATTGAATTTCTTAATAAAATTATGACATGTGGACATATTTTTAACTAACAAATATGTCATTGACTCTTGTAAATAATTCATTATTCACACGTCATAATTTTATTCAAGAACTCTATAAACAAACATGTCAATTAATTCCCTATTAAAACATTTTTTTTATTTATGCTGTTCTTTTTCCTCCACCTGTTGAAGTGTTTTACTTTGTGAAATAGGTAGAAATAGAGGTTCTCTCAATTGGAGACAACGATGTGATATAATTTTAGGAACTGCAAGGGGGTTGGCTTATTTACATGAAGAATTTCATGTTCGAATCATACACAGAGACATAAAGACTAACAACATTCTCTTAGATGATGATCTCCAACCGAGAATTGCTGATTTTGGCTTAACGAGGCTATTACCTGATGAAAAATCTCATCTTAGTACAAAATTTGCTGGAACATTGTAAGTCAAAATCTCTTCTTGCACAATATTATTGTTTATAATTTGAGAATTCATATCTAGAACACTCGTGTTGCGACACTTTACATTGTATACGTCTATTTCATATTTTAAAATCTAAATATTGTTCTTGCATTAAATTGAGTCATAAACTATATCATAAACATTATTTTTCAGAGGGTACACAGCTCCAGAATATGCAATTCATGGTCAATTATCAGAAAAAGCTGATATTTATAGCTATGGAGTTGTAGTTCTGGAAATGATCAGTGGTGAACAAAGCAATGAAATCATGACCCATGGTGATTTTGAAGGCGACTTCCTCCTTCGGAAAGTAAGAAAATTTTTTTGATTAACTAAAAAGGGTAGTTGTAGTTTCATTTGTTTTTCTAATCACATTTAGGACAACGGGTGTATAAAGATAATATAATGTTATTTTTTAAAATTAGCTTATCTTTCTACACCAATTAATTAAAATAGTTTTCACCTTTCTACGCCTGTTAAGTATCTAACTTGTATAGAAAGTAAGAACATTTAATTTAATTTGAAAAAAATTACCGACTTTCTACATCAGGTGTCATTATAATCATTGTAGAAAATATTCTCCACACCCGTTCATTTGTTAACCTGTGTATAAAGTTAGTAGCAAGACGATTTATAAATTTACCATCGCTCACATATGAGGTATTGTTTTATATTATTTCACACACATGAGGTCCTTGCCTATTGAAATATATTATTTCTTTGACTGAAAAATTAATAAAACTATTATTTAAAAATATTAGCCTATGTCTTGATTTGTCTTGATTGCGCTTCTTATTCCACTTCAATTCACTTGATAGGCTTGGAAACTGTACGAGAGAGGCATGCACATAGAGTTGGTAGACGAAACCTTGGACCCTAATGAATATGATGTAGAAGAAGTGGAGAAAATGGTAGAGATTGGTTTGCTTTGCACTCAAGCATCTGCTGAATTAAGGCCAACAATGTCTGAAGTAATTGTTTTGCTCCAAGATAAAAGCTTATTAGAGAATATGAGACCCACTATGCCTATCTTGATTGAAACTTGAAATTAGGGTCCCATTGAGACATCTCTGTTGGTCATGGCCCTCACTTTTTTTTATTTAATTTAAAAAATGTTTGGTGGTCATGTAATTTGGTTGAGATTTGAGGCTACACATATATATACATAGGCACGGTTTCGAATTTTTATATTGGCAGGTGTTGAATATTGTTTGGTGGAGTTAACTAGTGGTAGAGACCGCAACATGAGTTGGCTCTGTCAGTTTTTGATTTTTCTATTTTTATTTTTTAATTAATTAAAACATGAAAATGACATTATTTGATAAATATTTATCTTAGCGGAAGATAAAGGTGGTGAGATTTTTGAGATAGAACCTCCACTTTCCGTCAGTAGGCTTACTGGATTTGCATTCGGTGCTCGTACTCTCATCAGGATTAAGAGCAATCTTAACTCTTTATTTTAATTTAAATTAATTACTGACATTTATTTAAATTAATTTTCAAATATTTTTAATATTATATTTATTAATATAAAAAATTTAAAATTTTAATAAATATATTCGTTATGGCAGTATAAATTTAATATAACAATCTAATTTAATATTAAAATTTTTATAATTTTATAATTTGATTATTCAGATAAACGCTGAACAATTTATATCTAATAAAGATGATAATAATAAAATAAATTATAATCACCAACAAGGTTTCAGATGAGTTGACGTGAATTTATAAAATATTTTTTAAAAAATTATTTTCAATCAAAACTAACAATATTTAAATTTAATATAATTAAATATTCATATAAAACAATATTGAAGGGAGGGGGGCCAAGTGGAAATTTCCTGAGGTTGACAGGCGAGAAGTAATAAATGCATGAAGGAGCGTTCAAACATATCAATCCACAAACGTATAGTTCCGTCTCTTACCTGCCCATGACATCTATTCTTCTCCATTCTTCATTCTTCAATCTCTCCACACACAGCCGACCAACCTCAGATATCAATATCTCCAAGCAAACTCCACAAAAAAAAAAAATGCTTCAATCTCATCTCCTTCCCTTAATTACCTTGTTATTCTACTCATGCTGGATTCTTGACGGTGTCGTTTCGGAGCCCCAGACCTATTTTTTGACCAGCGTTTGTAACCCATACTACGAGTTCCTGGTGCCCAACGTCACCATCTTCGGTGAAAACATCAACGCAACGTTGCGAGACATCAGAGAGCAGATCAGTGACCAAAACAAGCACTTCGCGACGGCGCAAGAAGCCGCCAGTGGTGGAAACACCGTCAACACTCTTTTCCAATGCAGAAGCTACCTCTCCATCGCCGACTGTGTCGGCTGCTTCGACGTCGCTGCCCCTCAAATCCTCAGCTGTGCCGCCGGGGATCCTGGTGGCCATGTCGTCTACGACGGCTGCTATCTCAGGTACTAACAACCACAAGTTCATGGTTGACTTTTCTTTCTTTCTTTTTAATAGTTAAAAGCTGAGATAATACATGTTGGTTTAAAATAAAATAAAATAAAAAGCTGAGACAAGACATTGATAACGACATTATTAGTATTAGCATGCATGTGCGATATTCATTGGATGAGTTAATATTGGGTTGGCGTAGTATCATTTATTTGGGCTGCTTTCAAATTTCCCCCTGACTTTCTGCCGTGTGAGAGGGGGTAAAGCAATTTTTTTTTTTTTAAAAAAACAAACATCGTAATATGATGCAGAAGAATCTAATAAGTAATAACGGAAAGACTCCTCAAAGAAAGAAATCAACTAATTATTAAATGTATTCCTCCACATTTTTCTTTCTATTTCTCCTGAAGCACATCTGTTGGTCTTGTTAAAAAAAAAAAAACAAGGTATATCTCTTGGAAATTTCTAAATGCTTATAATTCAACTTGTTATTAGTTATATAAACACTAGTACAAAATTAATGTTGACATTATAAATGAGCTGAATAATGGATTATACTAAAAGATTATAATCTTATAATTATAATAATATGTAATTATTAATGCTAAATTATACAAAAATCTATTAAATTTTGACCTATATGTGCAAATAACCTCCTTAACTTTTAAAGTTTGACCCCAAAAAAAAAAAGTTTAACGAGTTTCTGTAAATTTTAAAAATTAAGGAGGTTATGTATAAACATTCCAAATTTCAAGGTAGTTTTGCATGCTTTAGCTATTGTTAATATCCTTCACTAAGATACAAGTGCAAGAAAATAATCAATGTATCAGCATATCAACACATATATTATATAAAATTAAAATCATCCACTACTATTCATTTACCACTATCCATAATCTATTGTTGTGTTATAAGGTATGACATTAGTAGCGCTTTCTTTGGCGATACCACACAGTCTATCAATAGTGCATCGTGTGGGAATCAGACTATCGAAGAACCAGCTACTGCATTCACCTCAGCTGTGCAACAAGTGCTAAAGAATCTGCAAACAGAAACACCCAGAATCACTGCCTTCTCTGCAGCCACGAAGACGCAAGTGCCTGATAATGGGCCTACTATTTATGCCTTTGCTCAATGTATTCAAACTATCACACAGAGTAAGTGCGAGGATTGCTTGAATGCCAGTACAACAATATGCAGACCTGTTTTCCCAATTCAGATGGTAGGGCTTATGCTAATGGCTGTTTCTTGAGATATTCCACCACTTCTTTCTTTCCTGATGACCAGACCATCGATATCACTCCTTCCTTCAGAAAAGGTACACTTCTGATTTATGTCTTTAGATGACAAATTGATTTGCTTATTGTAATTTTGAACCTCGTGTTATATATGTCTTGTTTTAGTGCTTTGATATTTTGAAACCTCGTGTTATAGATGTTTTTGTTGTATATATCTTCTTGTATGACTTGCAGATTCAAGCAATAAAGGAGCCACTATAGGTGGAGTTGTTGGAGGCGTGGTAGCTCTTGCTTTGATCTTTATTGCATTATTTGTCTGGATTAGACGACGAAAAAGGCCTGAGAGGGTTCCTAGAGGTAAACATATTAAATCTTCAACTATTATATATCAGATTTTAATGATTTAATTAATTTGACGCCTCTGATTTTCACAGTCCCCCGGATTGAAAAATCCCTGACTTTGTTTTATATATATATATATATATATAATTTTTAAAGAGACTTTGACTGACATTTTCCGCCATAGGAGACATAATTGGAGCAAGCAAGTTGAAAGGCCCGACCATTTACGATTATAAGGATTTGAAGACTGCAACCAAGAATTTCAGTCAGGAAAATAAACTAGGAGAAGGAGGATTTGGAGTTGTGTATAAGGTAACTTTATTTTTAATTTCAATATTTAAATATAGAAAAGCAAGGATGTTTCTAAGTGAGTAAACGTCTGGAAGCGCTTCCATGATTCAAGTCCTTAAAAATCATGAATAGGGAACTTTGAAGAATGGAAAAGAAGTTGCGGTCAAGAAATTAACACTCCGCCAGTACTTTGAAAAGATGGAGGACGAGTTTGAAAGTGAAGTGAGACTTATAAATAATGTTCACCATCGGAATCTTGTTCGACTTTTGGGATATTGTATTCATGACAAGAATAGAATCCTTGTCTATGAATACATGAAAAATAAAAGCCTTGACATATTCTTGTTCGGTAACCTTCTATCAATTAACCTCTTGTACAGTGTGCTTCATAATGTTTTGACATCAATTTAACAGCATATGATTAGCTCCCTTAACAAACTTATTCATATGTCAAAATTTTATTGAAAAAAGGTAAAATGAAAGGTTCGCTCAATTGGCAGCAACGATATGATATAATTTTAGGCACAGCAAAAGGTCTAGCATATTTGCATGAGGAATTCCATGTTCGTATCATCCATAGAGATATAAAGCCCAACAACATTCTCTTGGATGAGGATCTTCAGCCTAAAATTGCTGATTTTGGGTTGGCAAGACTTTTACCCGAAGACAAATCTCATCTTAGTACCAAGTTTGCAGGAACATTGTAAGTTGAAACAATTTCATTTGTCTTATTTTCTTAACTTGTATTATATTTCAGGAATACTTAATATACTGATAAAATCTATTTAGTGAGGTCACTAAAATAGTATTATTACATTGATAAATACTTTTAATTTTCATTATGTTGCATTTTTAAAACTTGAATAGTTCAAAAAGATAAAGAATTCATATGTATGTCTAAGGTAACATGATATTATTTGTTTTTAATCTCTAGAACAAATTTTGTCATCTCTTAAATTTTATGCATTCATTTTGTGGCATTATTTTGGTGAATTATGTCTTAGATATTATGCACATTTGTCAGAGGATACACAGCACCAGAATATGCAATTCATGGCCAATTATCTGAGAAGGCTGATGTCTATAGCTATGGTGTTGCAGTCCTAGAGATTATCAGTGGCCAGAAAAATAAAACTTTTAGCATCGATGGTGATTTTGAAGGCGAATACCTCCTTCAAAAAGTAAGAATCACATGACTAAAAAAAATGGCACTTTCTAAACAAATTTTCGATGTTGGCTTTTTTAACAGCTCAACACTATTTGATTAACTTTATTAGAACATATTCATTCCTTTTATTACAGATAATCTAATACAATCATAGATATTTTAAAAATAAAATTTTACTTTCGCTTTGCCTTTCAACCCCTCTTAACTTACTCAATTTCACTTTAAACCCATCTGTTAGTCTTGGAAGCTATATGAAAAAGGGACGCATGTAGAGCTGGTGGATGATACCATAAACCTCAATGATTGTGATGTAGAAGAAGTGAAGAAAGTTATAGAAGTTGGTTTGCTTTGCACCCAAGCATCCGCTGAAATAAGGCCAACAATGTCTGAGGTTGTTGTTTTGCTCCAAAACAAGGAATTGTTAGAGAATATGATACCCACCATGCCTGTCTTGATTGAAACAAATTAGAGACTCCTGTTCTCCCCCCCCCCAAAAAAAAAACAACAAGCATCCAATGCTCTTGCTTGCACTTGTATGCTATCCACAAATATGCTTGTAGAGGAATTTAAAGTCAAGGGTGACTTTGAGTTTTGAACCCCAGATAGCTAGAAAAAGTAATGTATAGAAGACAAAGGAGAAAATAGAAGATGATTGTCTTTTGGTATGTGGGAATTTTACTTGAATTTATATATAATTTTTTCTCTTTATTCACTAAATAATGCATAAAATAGAGGTAAATATAGACAAAATATCTCACTTGGTAATTTTGG